CAGGGAAGGGGCCCGGTGGTTTCCGTACTTGGTGAGTGGGGCTCCCAGAGCAGCTCCCGGTGGGAACCAGCCCTGCCGGGCACAGCCCAGCCCAGCCCAGCCCAGCAGGCTCTGCTTGGGGCAAGCAGGGATGGAGAAGGGGCTCGGGTGCTCGCCCCAGGCGAGGGTCCCATGGGCCCTCCCCAGGCACATCTGTGCCCCCACCCAAGACCCCAGGGCTGGGCAGGGGTGGCAGAGCCTGGTCTGACAGCCCCACGCTTCTCCCCACAGCCAAACCCACCACTCCGGTCATGTCCGGGCCCGGCCGCAGAGTGGGGCCGGGACAATCGGTGTCTGTCACCTGCACGGCCAGAGGGTCCTCCCCCAAAGACATTACCGTGAAATGGTCCAAGGATGGGGCCCCGATCACGGCTCAGCAGCCCCAGGTCACCCCAGAGCGGACAAAATCCTCCTACAACATGTCGAGCACCGTGACGATGACGCTGCAGGAGAACGACGTCCGCTCGCGGCTCACCTGCGAGGTGCAGCACCCCCCGCTGAACGCCCCCGGCACGTACCAGCTCAGCCAGGCCCTGCGAGGTGAGGGCTGGGGGGGACCAGCGCTCGGGGTGTCCAGCTCCTGTGGGGCTGGGGGTCCTGGGGTGGGGACAGGGCACCCCGCAGGCAGAGGAGCCGGGGGAACCAGGCACCAGGTGCTGCCTCTCTTCCCAGTTCCCCCCAGAGTCTGTGTGGATGCTGACCCACCGCGCCCCGTCGAGGTGAACAAGACCGTGAACTTCACCTGCCACGTGAAGGGGTTTTACCCGGGAGAAGTGGCCGTCACCTGGCTGGAGAATGGGATGGAGATGAACGTGGAGAGCATCTCCCGGCCATCGGAGACCCCCCGGGGCTTGTTCGAGCTGAGGAGCCTGGTGGAGGTCAATGCGACGGAGGAGAAGAACGGGTCCGTGTTCACCTGCCAAGTGGTGCACGATGCCCAGGACCCCGTCAACGCGACGGCCACCCTGTGGATTGCTGCCCCAACCGAGAACGGACAGAAGGACCTGTCCCAGATGGTTAACGGTGCGTGAGAGCCACTGGGATGCCATCCCTGCCAGGGAGGCTAAAAGATGTCACCCCCCTGGGAAAGCTCCAAGTCCCACAAGAATCTGGTTCAAGGACACAAAATCTCTGTGCTGGGGGGCTGGGAGTGTGATGCTGGCAGGTACCGAGGCATCATCCTCGGTGCTTCGGGTGTCACCAGGCCGACCCCAGCTGCAGAGGCTCAGCTGGAACCAGTGACCAGGTGTTTTCCATTCGTGTTTCAGGCAGTTTGTCCCTCATCTATATCGTGGTGGGAGTCGTCTGCACCGTCCTGGCGCTGCTGGTGGCTGCGATTCTGTACCTCATCCGGGCAAAGCAGAGCAAGGGTAAGGAATCGGAGCGCGTGGCAGGGCAGCGGCTGCTCCCCACCCCCTTCTCTCTCTCGAGCATCAGTGCTCGGGCACCGAATTCACGGCTGCAGCTCCTGCCCGCAGGGGAGCCCGGAGCGGAGCTCACCGGGATGTTTGCAGGCTGCTGCAGGGAAAGCTCTGCCTGGGTGCCGCTGCGTGCCAACGCCTGCCAGGAGCAGGGTCAAACGTGCTTCTTGTTCCTTGTGTCTAAAATGTCTGGCACTCCCCCTGCACCTCCTGCCCTCTGCCAGGAGCAGCCCTGCAGGAAACGGAGTGAAACTGCAGAAAACTGCAAAAACTGCGGCCACTTGCCTCTGGGAAAACGTGTGTGTCGGCTCTGGCCACCGCCTCTGCGTGTGGGCTCGTGTGCCGGGGGCGGTGCGGGCACTTACCAAGTTTCCTGAACTATTTCTTTCCTAAACTATTTCTCTCCCAGCAGGTAAAAGCTCCCCGTCTGCTCGGTAAGTGCACATCTCCTCCAGTGCCCGAGGAACGCGTGGGCGGTCCGAGCTGGGCACCTCCAGCCTGCGAACGGGGGCCACTGGGATCAGGACGGAGCTGGATCCCCAAAAGCTTGTGCAGGGAGGGGCAGGGGCACAGGCTCTGCTGATCCCGGGGGCTGCGGTTCGGCCCCCGCCGTGATCCTGTCCCCAAACACTTGACGTTTGGTGAGGCTGAACGAGTGGGTGGGAGGTGGGTCCCCAGCCTGCAGAGATGTAGCTGGACCAGCCCGTGGGCAAATGCCCACAGGTGAGGACTCATCCTGCTCGGGGCTGCTGCAAGGACCTCGTTCTGCTTCCGAACCCCCAGCTGCTCCGTCACTAGGGAAGAGGCAACGGGGCACGTGGTCGATCTGACTTGTGTTGTTCCCTGTTTCAGGTTACATGAGCCAGAGAAGAGCAGTGAGGCCACCACCCAGGTGGGTGCTGACAGCCCCGGGACCGGGGAGGGAGGGCAGCCGGAGGCTGTGGGAGCTGAGGGTGGTGGTTCCTGCATGAAACATCTTGGTGTCTCCAGTGGAGGGTGGTGGTTCCCCTGCGAAACATCTCAATGTCTCCACACTGTGGCTGGAGAGGGAGAGGGAGAAGAAGCTGCCCCGGGGATGGGGTAGCTGCTTCTCAGCATCTTTCTGCCTTTGCCCTCTCTCCTCCTCCTCCTCCCAGGCAAGTCTGGGTTTGTGCTGCCTGGAGAACCAGCTGTGCGATAGCCAGCCAGGCTATTTGCAGAGTTATTTTTTGCATTTGGTGACGCAGTTACGAGCAAAGTCGTGATCAGCAGCAATCTGTCCGTCCCACCCAGCC